ACTATAAAGAATACGGAAATAATAACAATGGTCGACGGGAATAGCCCTTTTCCAATAAAAAATGCAGCTTAAAACTGACCAAAACGGAAAAAACCGCACTTTAGTTGTCAAAGATGGCTCTCAGCAGGTAAATGAAAAATAGTTGTCCGACGGGTGTTGCTTCAGCCAATGTATGGTTCAATGATTGTTTGTACGCGAAATGTCCATAGACATGCCGCTCGAATTGTGCTCTTCTATGTACGGATATTAGTAGGCTCCGAGTAGGCTTCGCAGAGAGATCTTGCAGAACGAAATCTCATTTTCCAGTAGTTTAGATAATAAGAAATCCAGTCCACTACCCGGTTCTGAGTTTTGACTTTTTCTTCGTAGTGAAAACTGCATTTCAAAATGACCCATTTTTGAGGTTTTGCTTCATTTTGTGTGGTGAGGCACCTTAGCACTTTGGAGAGTGGATCAAATTACGTATTTTGTTCGTCATCAGGTCTAGTATATATCCTGAAAGTTGAAGGTCGATCGATTCAGTCATCCCTGAGAAAATCGGCCAGCAAGCGCCCTTTAGAATCCATGGAAAACGAAATTTTGTGAGCGAGCTGCGGATCCCGCGCCGGCACTTAAATTTTTTTCAGATTTAATTCAGAATTGAATTCTCTTTCGAATGAGATATGTCTCAATCCGTGCGACAAACCTCACTGTAAAGTGTAGTACGATACCAATGAAAATACCCCACCTTGTTTCGGTTGAAAATTAGTTAAATCGACGCCATTTGTCACTAAAGTACTAGTCTTCGTTCTTAAACCTACCACATTAGTATTAGCAAATGCTAAGACAAAAAGAAGTGCACTTGGTACTGGAAACTTTGTCATCACAATTTATGGGCTCACTTGTGAGAATGAAATGGAATTATACAGAATTACGTTGTACTGTCCGTACGTAATTTTTTATGCGCACTACACGTTGAGTAAAAATTAAAACTAGGATAAAAAGATATTGTAAAACAAAATTTGAGTGCATTTTATGTCATGAGTATTTTATCGACATTAATAATAGATTTATGTTTAAAATCATCGACAGTCAAATCGCCATTTGTTGTCTAACTGAAATCAGCTCTGCTATCAAATGCATCTGTTACGTTTCAAGTGTCTTTAATTGTGAGAGATTCATATTTCATTCAGAATTTTGGCAAACAAAGTCGAAGTTCTCTTTCTCGTTGATTATTATAATTAAATATCTGTTTTAAAACTCTATTATACTTCGACTTATTTTGAATATTCGATAATTTATAATATTTGGTTATATGATGGTAAATAAAAATTCACTGTGAATGTCATCAATTATTTTTGTACGGAATATGAACAATTTGACCCTCTAAATCAGATGATGCATCCAGATATTTGAAGAACAACCTTCCTGCATATATTAGTGTGACATTTGCTATTATTGTACCGTCATTCCAGTAACAAGAAATTATTTTCTTTTTACTATTTACAGATTTTAGGATCTTTTTACATTCATTGAATCATTGATAGAAATAATGACATTCTACATCATTTACCGACCAGATCTAAGCCTGGTAAACCAAACTTTTTCGAAATTTATCACGAAGAACCGAAATATGCAGGTAATAACGATATAAGTATCCAAGTTCGATGAGGAACGTTTCGCATTCAGCGCATATTAAGTCAAAGACTTCCTGTGCAGATTAAATCAGATAAGTTGATGGCGACGTCAATGTGCGCATTCTAGACTAAATGATGTTGATAACACGATATTAGATGCATGGCGACTTTGTGATCAGATAAACGTTTTTCACTGGAACAGTATCAACTGCTGTGCTGTAGGGTTGTATCTCGGTAAAGTTCCTGATGAGGAAAATGAGAAGATTTTCCGAGATTTACTTAGGGGCTTCATATGGATAGTAGTGGAAAAGATGTCCTCTATGTTTTATCTAAACGGTATTGAAGATAGTCTAGAATACGCACATTTTTACTAATTTTAATTGATTTCGCCATCCACTTATCTGATTTAATCTGCACAGGAAGTCTTTGGTTTAATATGTGCTGAATGCGAAACGTTCCTCATCGAACTTGGATACTTATATCGTTATTGTCTTAATATTTCGGTTCTTGATGATAATTTTCAAAAAAGTTTGGTTAACGGATCTATTTTCGAATGTCAGACTCAAAAGGTTAATGATTTTGTATCAGTTAAGCATCACTTTTAGAATCATTTTCTGATGCTGAATCAGAAATATTTTTAAAAAAAAATTAACATTCTTCGAAAACAATTTTGGTTCTTTTTCTGCGCAGCCATTACTGCATTATTAGGCCGGATCATGTAATAAAAGATTAATATTCTTCGAAATAAACGTAGTACAAGTACTGAATTTGTATTTTAACTACTGCGTCTTTGAACCATGTCTGATAAAATGCTTGAGCGTCGAATTCCGTCGTTACTGAAGGGTTGTTTACCTTTGGAAAATAGTAAACTTAAAACTGAACGATATTCAGAATATTTGTCAATATTTTAGAGCTCATACTCATCTCTACCGTGGGGTTTTATCCACTTGCATAACGTGTAGACATTTAGAAGCGGGAATGGAAGAATAAAAATCCAAATAAACATGAAAAACAACGTTTGTGAAACGAAGAAATTATTAATTAAAGCCAAGATTCTAAACGGTGAAAATCAGTACATATAACAGTTATATAACACACTAGATGAATGTTAATAATTAGAGTGCTCCAGCTTCCATTTTTGACCAACATTCAGCGTTACGTACCGCGGACTGTCATTGGTAAATAGGCATGCACCGGTATCGGTATCCATACCGAAATACCGACTGTTTTTGATTTGGACTTTTTTGGATTTTTTCATCTGAAAAGAGATAGTTTAGCGTCATGGACAGTCAGAACACAAAAAACATTCAGCTGTGTATTCTGAGCATGTGTAAGAACAACTTACGTTGAAAATAAAGGAAAACTTTGGCCTTAGAAAGCAAACAAAGCTCTTGTTTTGCATCGGAGATTCTTTCTGGGTGTCCAGGATGCTAAACTATCCATTTTAGATGAAAAAATAAAAAAAAGTCGGTATTTTCGGTATACCGATACCGGTGCATACCTATTCATAAATGAGATAAAACATGTTTTGAAAAGACACTACAATCTGATGTCATTGAGCACCGTTTGTTATCATATCAATCATATTATTCCATTTGAACACTAACTTAGTACATCCCTTTCACTGATACACGTAATTCAGTATCTGGCATACTATTTTGACAATAATTAAATACATTCACGAATACTAGTTTTAGACACCTAAACGTATTGATTGGATTAATAAATTCAGCTGTCGATATGTTCGAGTACTGTTGATTTCGAACGGAACAACGATATTATATAATGGATCGGTATAGAATGTTTTGTGCCTACATATATTCATTCTTTCTTCAAGGAGCAAATCGTGGTCTCCAGTTACATTTTACTCTTACATCGGCAACCGCAGAGATCACACAAAACATGTTCAGGGAACTCGCCTCTCTGGGAGCTTTAGAAGATAACATGGTTAGTTTTACCAGTGTGCTATTAAAAAGAGCGTCTTCTAAAACAGATAGATCGTTGTTTTACGGTTGAGTGATATTGCTTCAATTCGCTCTTTGCCAAATTAGTCACAATATCAAAAACAAGGGCGCACCTTTTTGATACGATAATCACAAGAATCACTCTTCAGGGGCGGCGGAGCCACTAGGCGTGGTAAGGCTTGAGCCTTACCAAATTTTGGCTCCGTTAGGCTGAGCCTTACCAAAAATTAGGAAGTAGAAATTGTTTTCCGATGCATTTTTGTATTGGACTTTTTCGTCTTCCGAAGAACGCAAAAACCGTCAAGCCTGAGCCTTACCAAATTTCAAAACGCTCCGCCGCCCCTGTCACTCATACATATAATATGCTTTGAAAACGGGAAATACCGCCAAAAAATTTTACAAAAATGCGACGTACGGTTGTTCCAGATTGTTCATTGTTCGCTTTTCCTTTTTACGATGCCCTCACCCCCATCATCTTCACACACACATAGCCCCTCTTACAAAGCCTTCTGGCAAATTGCTTTAATACCTCAGCTTAATGTCATTTCTTGTATTAAAACGTTCAGTATGTATCGGATGTTAGCCTTTTCTCTATACTTTATTTGATATACAATAGTGTTTCCCTCCCTTTGTCATTTGACCTGTACGAAGCTTTCATAAAATATATCACTGAAAGGTGTCTTTTTACAACTGGGTGACTTTTATGTGCAGATAAAACCCCAGAGAATGTTTAGTCTGGCATAAAATCCGACACAAATATTCGAATGTAACGAATGCAGACACGGAATAAGCGAGGAGAATGAGTATGGTCGTTTTATAGAAGTGAAGACAGGAGATAAAAAGAAAGAAAAATTATGCATGATGTGTAAAGTCAACAAACGAAACAATAAATAGTCATAAAAGAAAATAGAATCACATTTTTCTTCGTGCTTTTGACATAAATTTCTTTGAATTTTTGCAGCGATTACCGATAACAACTGTTAAAAAGAATGACTGATAGTAAATATATTCATAAATCCATATCAATTGATCGTATTAAAGGTTATTACGATGAAGATTTTGTTACATGTACAGCCATTTGTCTCGATGTTTTATGGCAACCTGTTGCTTGTAAAATATGTGAAAAAAAAATGTCCGTATGGTTGTAAGTACGAAGAACGTAAATGTCCACCAACAAATTTAAAAGCATTATCAAAATTGCAAATTGAATGTTGTTATAAACAAAGTGGTTGTCCAACTGTAGTCCTTTATGAAGCACTAGAAAAACGCGAAAATGAATGTAATTATCAATTAGTAATATGCAATGGATGTCAGAAACAGTTGTTGAAAATAGATTTTGATCGACATCAACATAATTGTGGTTTAATTGATTTGAAATGTACCCAGTATAAACTTACAACAAAGTATAAACTTTTGTCTCCATTTCAGTCCGGTTTTATTGCTAAAGATAGTACGACAAATATGCTTCTTGACGTTGTTCATGAAATAAACGCTGGTTTGGAGGATCATCACTATGTTCGAGCTGTTTTGTTAGATTTTCAGAAAGCATTTGATAATGTTAGTCATCGAGGATTACTGCTTAAGTTAGAGAAAAAGGGAATTCGAGGAAAAGCTCTGAAATGGTTAGAGAGTTACCTTACTGGACGCATGATTCAAACAATACTAGAAGGTGTGATCTCGAGCCCGTTGAAAATTGATAAAGGTGTTCCGCAAGGTTCAGTGCTGGGTCCGCTCCTCTTTCTACTGTATATTGACGATTTACCATTGAATATTCAAAGCACCATTAAATTGTACGCTGATGATGTTTTTCTGG